CCAATCTAAGCTGTAGTTGTAGGTTCACCATACACAAAAACAGTTTGTCTGATGCATCTAATTGCACGTCGTTAAAGGAACCATACTTTCATAACTTTATTCCGTCTTTGCGTATTGCAGAGTTATCTTCTCTTGTGAGCAGGTATTGATTGTTACGTCATTGTTTTGTGAGAGTAACGTCATCAATTTTTGAGAATACGACGTTCTTTTCTCACACACGCCAATGACGTAACAATCAATACTTGCTCACAAGAGAAGATAACTCAGCAATACGCAAAGACGGAATAGGTACTTCTTTACTTTTCTTCCTCGTTTTATTTACTTAGCCATTAAGTAATTTAACACTATCATGACTTTGTTGAGAATCAATAATAATATAACAAAACCGTAGTTCGAACTACTCATCGATCGAACAAGGGCAAGACGAGCGATTTACATGGAGACAAAATAATAACAAGGAATATAAGACGACGGTTTCCGGAATGGAGAGCGAATGGAATGGATATGATAAAGAGAATAAAGGAAAAATGATATATAAAAGGATTATCAACAGTTGATTACCAGCCAAAATTTATGTTCTAAATACTAACAGTTGAGTAACGACTCAAGTGTGTTATCGGATTATCAACAGTAGACCAATCACCTTGATATGTCAGGGGAAAAAATGTAATGTAAACAAAAACAATCAAAGTGAAATCAATTATATTAATGTCGATATCATCATATTTTAGCGTTGCAACACCAATGAGTGCTAGAAGGACGAAGAGCCGTGTGATGCAGTGAAATCCATTTCTGGTATACTGTTCCTATTACCAAGTTGTATAGGTGTTGTCACTTTTGTGTGTCTTACTCTCATCCTGTCGCTCACTGTTCTTTAAACGTTTTAGGCATTGTACTTACATTTTACAATATTTATTACTTTGTGTGGTTAAGCCTCCTTCTGGTATACTATAGAACAAAAGTGCTAAAATCCTGTAATAATCATAACAATCTATTAATGCACAACTATGAATGGCTTCCGTATCACGAAGAGAACATTTATCGTCTGATTAATTGAACATCTTTTCAATGTTTCCTCCTCATCATGTAAGACAAGGAAAAGTAATTTGAAAAAAAAAAAATTAAATTAAATCAAATTATTACGGCTAAATATTCCTTTAGAAATTGGCAAGCAATTTGAGATAAGTGATTGACTCGTCTCCAACCTTTGACTATATAATTATTTTACAAACGTTAAGATAACTGTAATGGGGTAACTGATGGCGCCACATTCTGTATCAAATTCCTTAAAAAAATACCAAATTGACATAAAAGAAATGTTATTCAAACTCAAAGTCAAAACTAAGGTAAAATACAGAAAAAAATACGATTACATGAAAACCCTAAATAACGTATAAAGATCAGAAAAAGCAAGTTTTTTCAAAAGGCTTCTTCTGTTTATTTGCCTGAAAAACATATAGTCAATTACAGGTAATCTATCTATGCTGATATGTTCAATATGTCATAACAGATAAATGTTCACATTAAACAACCACAAAGAACACGAAGTATCGACGATGTCAGTGGCAATGAAACCATTTAGGATTTATAACGTCACCAATAAGTCCGTAACCCAGTCACCCCTGAAGAAAGATTTGAACTCTTCAAATTCAAAGGTTGAAATAGTTCATTATATTAAATTTCAGGGGTGAATAAGTTAAAAGACAAAGCGGCTGTTGGGTATGGTGAAGAATTATTTAATTTTATCAATAATGTATTTAGGTGCATCAACCTTTATGTATCCTGTCGAATACTGATCAAGGAAACGGGATTATACAGTTTATTTAGCCATAAACATTAAGTGTATTACTGAAAACGTTTCATAACATGTACTGCCTTGTGTGGTTACGCGCTACGCTGACAATTTTCATAACAGATTTGTCAAGTCTAGATTTATTCACAACAATCTATTCATGATTGTTTCGATATTGTTATCTCTTTTCCCTGCGGAAAAATGTCTCGTTTGATTTATTACGCAATCGAATCAACGTTACGCCTTCCTCATTTGTGATTTACAAAGGTTATTAATAATAAAAATGATCTTTGATTTACGTTTTGGTTTGTTTTTATTATATTTAAATTCCTTTTAACAGTTACGGTCTTTTAAGGACTTTTTTCCAAATGTGTAACGTATTCGTGTATGTGTGGTTGTATGTATGTGTGGTTGTGTGTATGGGTGTGTGTGTGTATGTGTGTATGTGTGTAAGGGTGTGTGTGTGTGTGTGTGTGCATGAAATGTATTCGTGCAAGTGGTATTCATGCTGGATGCTGTATGTTGGTCTACTTTAACAAACTGCCGATCATATAAATTTGCACTTAAATACTTGAATCGTCTCCAACATCTGATGTTATTGACTACTGACTAAAAGACAAACTCTGTGTCCCCCTCGGCTGAATCCAGTTCAATACAAAGAAACAGGAAAGCGCAGACGAGTGTCAACAAAGAATGTACAAGAACAAGTTCTAGGTAAAATCCTATTAATGACCTCCAAGCGAGAACCGGGGTAGCAACTAGGAAACATCAAGACCATGAAACCTCACCTATCTTCATTAATTGTCCGTCAGTAGATGGCATGTTCAGGGGAATGATGATATCAAGAAAAAAACTTAAAATACCGAATCAACTATATACTATGTCAACACCGACCATAACTGTTCCAATATAATACCATTCATTTCATTACATTCTATTGAAATAATATATTTTAACCTTTTTTGTGGGTTTTTTTTGTCCTGAAAAATTATAACTAGGTTTATTTTGATAGAATTTGTAGGGGAAATATCCGAGTATAACTACTGGCTTTGAAATACTCTGACCCCATGAAAAAAGGTGATTCGTACGTGTATCAAAGATGAAATAAACCATGGAAGAAGGCAATGAATGGGATTTGTTTTGTTTTAGTTTTAAAGTAAAAATGTATGGACATCTTGTGAGTAGTAATGCTTCTGAAAATCTATACAGTCTTTATATTAAATATACATATACTGTTTATTTATATTGGCGTATGGATATTTTCGGGGCAATTTTGTCAACAAAACAATTGCAAACAATTCGACTTTAACAGCTTACTGTACTCCAGTATCACTTCAATAGTCGTACCAGTTAAATCGGTCTACATACGGGGTCTAATCACCAACTTTGTATGTTTGAAGCATGGAAGTCTAGTAGTAGGACGCCGGGCTCGTGACCGAAGTCCCGTCTTGGCATTGTATTGTATTCTTGAACAAGATCCTTTACTCTGCTTGTTCCAGGCTGGTTCTTATTCTGGTCGGTAATCATCAACGTCCTATTGGATATCACGCTGATTGCATATGTGCGGCATGTGCTTAATTACAAAACAATGACAGCGTCAAAAAAGTTCATTAAATAAAACTCTGTACTCCAATGTCGGTCTACTCCGCAGTAAAAAAGCACATGATTGAACAGTGGTGGAATTGTTGAATGTGAGCGCCGAAATGGCAGCACATGCTATATGCTTCCGAGAAAGAAGATAGTGGCTGGTTAACACGACCCTATAACCACGGATAATAATGTGTGAATCGCTTTGAGACGACCTACGAACTGCGTTGTGATGAAGCGGTATATAGGAACCTCGAATTATTATTATTATTTTTTAAACATTGGTAGCCTAATAATTGAGGTAGTCCATGCTGGAAAATTACGCACGGGTGCACCTCTATAGTTTGTTGACAAGGAGAAACAAGTAAATGCCAGAGGCAGATCCTGTTTGTAGTAAAGCAGGAGGATCGTGTCTGTGTATCACAACTTCGGTGCATGCATTTGCCACCTTAGGGGTTAATGCGGTCGTATCGTTTAATATACATATCAAATGCATCATCGAAAAAACGATATATATTTACATCAATCTTCATACAATTGTATAGCCTAAATTTTCACACCAAACAGTGGTACCGACAGCTTCATATCCAGCCAAAAAAGGGACCTTTTTGCATCAAACGTGGTCACGTGATCTGACAAGTGTAAGTTTTAAACCTCTTGGGCATAGTCATCCGGAATACCCTCTATCAATGTTAGCAAATATGTGTGGTTGGTCATACTGATATGGGTCCCGGGATCCTGGTAGTGCTGTCAAAAAAATTGTAAAACTATCCCTGTCTCTATGCCGTCCGTATCCATGACGTGATGTAACAAGAATATTTATATCAAGGAAAGCGATACTCTTTCACACTTTGAAGATACATATTTGATATCATGAATTTAATCATTTTATTTTGTTTAAAGAGCAAACTTGTCAATACCTTAAGAAGACTATCGATAGAATTTTGGAAGAAAAAAAAAACTATTCACTGTATTGGCTAATGAGATCATCTAATCAAATGGCGCGCATTTTCTTCAGGTACGTCACACATTCTTATCGCCACATTAATGAATAGGTGGGTGTATAAGTTCGTTTTGACAGTTCTATCTGTTCAGAGTATATAGTTGCAAGATTGACCTTCACGCTCAGGGTCGTATGTATACATTAGCATAGGGTAATGCTTGTAGGAGGAATTGATATTACCGGAACACACATGTCATAACATTGGACCCGGAAGAACAATACAAATCTTGAGGCAAACTCCTAACGTTTCTCCACTTAAGCTGTCTTCTACGATTAACATGATTAAGCAGTTCAAATTGTAATTTTATCATATCTGCATAGTTGCAAAAATATTGTTTTGCTTTTTGTTTAACTGTCCGAAGTTATTATTTTGAAAATAAATTCTGTACCTTATTTTTTGACTTGGTAAAAAAAAAAAAAAAAAAAAAAAAAAAAAAAAAAAAAAAAAAAAAAAAAAAAAAAAAACACACAAGCTTAACAAGTTAATATATCACGTTTACAAGACAGGTATTAAACTTAGATAACTGACAGCTGCGTAACACATCAGACCTGAGGTACATATCTATCACAGCCTTAGACATATCAATGAATAAGGCCGTCATAATGATATTCCTGAGTGTGACAGGCCCCGATACTCTTACCTCACTGGTACATAGGAAGGAAAGATGAACGAGGCTATTATGATCGGTGAATATTAATTAATGTTTCACGGTATTAATAGTCAGATGTTGAACAGATACTATACACGTAATACCAGGTCTGGCCGGTATGGGGTCCTTTCGCCAATGTCTACTGTATGGGATTATCATCTCTGTGACTTCGTGGAATCTGTGTTTATGTAATCCACACATGGTAAGATTAGTATTGATGTTTAATTGTTTTCCATATTATCTTTGTGTTGTGTACAATTATCAACTTAGCTCTGACAGTTCAATCATTGTTCTACAAAGCCGGAAGATCTAAACCAGGTTACATTATATCTAAGTGTTTCGTTCGTGAAGCAAATATAATGAGTAGCTAATATTATATATATAATTATATCTAGAACAAAGCAATACGCTAGGGGGTACTTAGCAACTCTTTGTATTTGTTATTTACACATATATGTATATTATTTGGGACGTTTCAATCAATTATTAACAACAACGTAGTTAACAATTTAAACAATTCTGTCAATGCAGTACAGATATTTTCAATTTTCAATCAAGCAGAAAAGTATAGATCTAGTGATAAGGACTTGTGTGGTAATTAACTTGTTGATTTATATGTCTGGTTATAAATATGAGTCATTTACTGATTTGCATTGAGACGGCATATCAAACTCAGTTTAACATATATTAAATAGCAAACAGATACGGGGCTGACACATACCATAATGAAGGTTATAATGTCATTTGTTTTACTTACCGCTAGCTGTTGAATCTGTGTTCTCGCCTTGTGGTAATAATACGTGTGATATGACCTTGTACAATTGTATACTCGGGAACTACTGTAAGACACATTCAAGATATTAAAAATTCGTGATATGCGTCTAATGAAATAGTTATATTTATATCTATTTTGTATCCCTCTATTCCGTCTTTTCGTATTGCAGAGTTATCTGCACTTTTGAGCAGGTATTGATTGTTACGTCATTGGTTTGTGTGAGAAAAGTATGTCATTTTCTCAAACATCGATGACGTTACTCCCACAAACAAATGACGTAACAATCAATAACTGCTCACAAGTGCAGATAACTCTGCAATACGCAAAGACGGAATGCAAACATTCCTAGTATGTTGCTCTGCCCTATTGAATATAACACATGCACTTAAACCACTAAAAAGGAAGCTACTCTTTAAGAATACAGTTTGTCGATGCAAAGAGGAAAACAAGTCGGTTTTACTTGACCATATGGCCACTTAAAACGTTGAGAAAACTGTGGTTCTAAAAATTAAAAAAACAACGTGTTCCAAAATATATGACGAAACTCAGGGTAAGTGTGTATGTTCCTATAGATTTATAACTTTGGATGCAACAGTCGGTTTTTCCTTAAGCTAGAATATCATGTTAGCTGTAAACGGTGCGATAATAAATGCTAGCTACATAGGATAGTCCGGCAGAGTGGATTCTCTTAACTCTACTGTATATAGGTCCTGTTGTGGCTTATTATACATCCATGTTTATATTTTATACTGTGAAATCACTAGCTTTCGTGGCGTTTTTTTTAATTTCGTTGATTTCGTGGGTAGTTTTTATGTACCAATTCGTTAATCCGTGATGTAATTACAGGCTTGATATAAACCAATTCTACGTTTGAGTTGCTACTCGTAATCCACGAATTAATGTGCCAACGAAAAAGTGTTATGTCGGGAAACCACGAAATTTGGGCCACACGAAAATATATGTTGTTTTCGCTTCCCCGTTTGAACATGACGAAGCTGTATCTGTTGCCGAATGTGACAGGTGTCATCACTTGTGTGTCTTACCACCATCTTGATCTGTTCTGTGGACATATTGTCATTTGATTTTGTTCTAAACTGCACATGTGGCATTGGCTATTCTTTCCACGTTTAACAATAGAGTAACCGTCCGTTAATGTTTCAATTCCTGATTTATGATATCATTAATATTCCTTCCACATATTCTTCCACACCGACTTTCCATGGAGGATGCTTACCAACTTGGTTCCATCAGTTGTTTATTTTTATTAACAATGTGCAAAATTGCATACCGGCATTTTATTTATCTATTTATTTATTTTTAAATTATTTTATTATTCGGTACGTGTGGATGGCTACAAATTATATCATATTTAAGATACCGTCCATATAACCAATTCCGGTTTCTGTTTATGCAAAATCTCATTCAATATTGTTTATTCTATCGCTGTACATATTTCGCACGTCTAAACTGCATCAGTCAAATGTATTTGTTCTTACTTACTTTATATTTAATCAAACAAGACAATAGAATTATGTAAGATTAAATACAATAGGTGCCAGTGTGGTGACTGTCTAGAATTAATGAATGATAATTATCGCGTGAAGAATAAATCAATGTTACTTCATTTCAGAATATTTTATTGTAAAGGCCTTACATATATCAGGAAAAGCCTATACAGCCCTCTCCTAAAATATGAAAAAAGCATACATATAATAAAGCAGAAAATTATAAAAGTATTAATATGAAATTATATTATAAATTATTGAATCACATATTATTTTGAGTAATATGAAGCGGTCTCTACACAAACGGTCGGTCAATTAAACATGAACTGGAGACCAATCCAGACAATCAATGATATTTAGTTGATCCCAGTAATGGGAATGAAAATGTGTTGAATAACGAAGGTAACTGCTCAGGTCTATTAACGTTTTTGTTGACATTTTGCTATCTTCTTAATTAACACATACTACATTATATATATATATATAGATTCTTAAATGACTTTTAATTTCATATGAGAATTTATGAAACGAGTCTTAGAAGTTTTTATTTTTGCGAGCCTTGGCGAGCAAAAAATAAAACTTCGAGACGAGTATCATAAAGGCTCATATGAAATGAAAACACATTTAAGATACTTTTCATCCCATAACTCAGAAAACTTAAATTTTTATAGGTTTAAAAACAAAAATGTAGAAGGCTAAATCAAACGGAGACAGCCATTTTGTTGCACCATTCAGAATTTATGATGTCAGGTCATTGTCCATATTATGACGTCTCCATTGATTTCTGACTGGCACAGTCAATGCAAAACGCTACAGGGTATATTACACTAGTGACATATGTAAAGATATCACACAGCCGAATTCACTGGATAAACATATATATGAGGTCATTTGCTATCTCTACAGTTTTATAGTATTGTCTTCAGTCAGTAAAGTGCCCTCCGTTGCCGTTATTTTGTTAGCCTCATTTCCTGAAATCCCTTCAGTTGCTGTTGTTTTGTTTACTTCATTTCCTAATGGTCCCTCAGTTGCTGCTGTTTTGTTAACTTCATTTCCTAATGGCCGTAAGTTGCCCTTGTTTTGTTAATCTCATTTCCTGATGATTTCCTAATGGTCCCTCAGTTGCCGTTGTTTTGTTCACTTCATTTCCTGATGTCCCCACAGTTGCTGTTGTTTTGTTAACTTCATTTCCTAATGGCCGTAAGTTGCCCTTGTTTTGTTAACTTCATTTCCTGATGTCCCCACAGTTGTCGTTGTTTTGTTAACTTCATTTCCTGATGTCCCCACAGTTGCCGTTGTTTTGTTAACTTCATTTCCTAATGGTCTCAAAGTTGCTGTTGTTTTGTTAATCTTATTTCCTAATGTCCCTTCAGTAGCCGTTGTTTTGTTAACCTTATTTCATGAGGTCACCTCAGTTGCTGTTGTTTTGTTAATCTCATTTCCTGATGTCCCCTCAGTTGCCGTTGTGTTGTTAACCTCATTTCCTAATGGTCCCTCAGTCGCCGTTGTTTTGTTAATTTCATTTCCTGATGTCCCCTCAGTAGCCGTTGTTTTGTAACCTCATTTCTTGATGTCCCCTCAGTTGCCATTTTGTTGTCTCTTCGGCTCCTGACGTCTTTTGCATCGGCTAATTGTTTATTTTGATTTTTTTCTTTTGATGACGCTTTTTCGTTTATTTACTTTTATGAAAATACTAAAGATAGGATCAGAAGTGAATACTACAAATATAATAATATCTTATAGGTTCTTTCAGTTGGATATAAAGATAGTGGTGAACCTTTGCAAGCTTTGCCATCTGGTTTGTAAATTCAATCGTGTTTATGATTTAACTTTTTAATATGATAAGAAGAGAACAAAACAAAACAATCCAGTAAATTGTAAATCTTTCTGTATTATTAGCCTAATGCGTCTCCAAACAATGTGAGCCAGCTGTTTCAAATATGCTGTAAAAGCTGCAAAAAATGATAGATTTTACAAACTCTCTCTCTCTCTCTCTCTCTCTCTCTCTCTCTCTCTCTCTCTCTCTCTCTCTCTCTCTCTCTCTATACGAAATGTAACTTATGATAAAAACTGAACGTGTTGTTGGTATAATCATCTGGCACACGCGAGGTATTGTGCTTGCTTCAGTCTTAAAAGCATGTGCAATCAAACCTGCATTCTGAGACCCGTTTCGGTGAGTTAATTAAGCGATACCACCGATGATCTGTTGTTACATGCTTAGTGAACACAACTACGATTGCGAGTTTGATTATTAATATCTTAATATATTTTGATATGAACACGTAATAAAAGAAACAAAATCACAAAATGACGGAACAAGCAGTTACATATCCTTAACGAATTGTTGGTCAGTTATATGTAGAAACTCGATTTGGAAAACACATTAATAAAAAGCGAATCAATATTTTAGGAAGACGACATTCAAAAAGTTCTGGAATCAAAAATGGTCCATAAGAAAACAGCAAACAAGAATATTCATAAACTTCGTTCATATTTAATAGTTGAATGCTTTATTTACCTGACTGTTACGCATTGGACACCTAACGTTAAGAATACGTGGCGTTACACGTGACTACTGAAGTCATTAATAGAGCACATGTGGCGTCTCGTGAGTACCGCTTAGTTAAATTATCAATGCGTCAAGCTGGATCAATCTCTGTCAGTCAAATAAGTTGTATGAAGTTATGTATTTCATAATTCGATTACGCATAATTTAATTTCGATTATTTATTGACTACCATTTACAGGTGACATAAATTAGCATACGAATAGTCCTATTCCGAATAATGATATCGACTAAGCTATAGATATGGGGTTTGCACAACGTTAAATGTAACCTCTTCATAGAACATACCTAAAATAAATGAAAATAATTTTGTTCTTAAAAATACTGACACGATTTCTAAAATAAGACCTCGGCCGAGTCCTAAATGAACGAAATCGTCATATAGTGTTGTAAAAATGTTTGTTATATTTGGTTTTCTGCATCGACAAACTGAATGCTTAAATTCCGTATGTCGTATTTAAGTGATGGTTTTGCGTAACAATTGTTTGACTCTGCTATTTGACTATCAGTTCTTCATGTTGCACGTAGCATTGCATGTTGATTTAAATCCGGCTCGGTTTCCAAAATATACCTTTCTGTTAATGAATAATATGTATTTTAATTTGTAATTATGTCTCTTGACGCTGTAGTATTCTTTTATATATTGCAGAGGTTGCATAGCCGACCAGCAGAAACCCAGTCCCAACCCCGTGTAACCAGCACTAATCAGCAAGGAGGGGGACAGCAACTAAACGCCTTAGATGTAATCGAGTTGTTGAAAGCAAAAAACCTCGTCCGTGATACGTCTGTGACAAAAACCTTACCATCTATATCAAACTTCGACCCAACGCAATTAGAAAATAGACTATTTAACCATCCTATGTTGGCGGATGCAGCGTCGCCTAGTGGTGAACAAATGTCACTGACCCGTGATGCTAATTCACAAGCACAAAACCATGTTTCTGACCCTAGGTCTGGGTTTGATACAGTTGTGTCAGGTAACCATGCTCAACATGCAATGTCATTTCAGAGGGCCGACCCAAAACAGGTGAATCCACAACTGCAAGCCAATCAGCAACAACATAATCAGTCCGGTCACCAACAACAGCAACAACATAATCAGCCCGGTCACCAACAACAGCAACAACATAATCAGCAACCGGAAAATCCGTCTCATATCAATCTGCAACAACAGTTTCCTAGTTTATGGCAACAGCAACACGTTTTCCAAAATCAAGGACCAAAGCATAATGTTCAGCAGTTTCAGCAACATCGGTTACGCAAGCCGCTTCAACCTAGTCAGCATTCAAATCATCACAGTCGACACGGTCAATGGTTACAACAGCAACAAACAAACAATGCACAGCAGCATCACCACGAGCATCAACAGCACGAAGAGAAAAAACAACAGAGTAATCAGAACGTGAATCTACTGCAGCAACATCAATCTCTGCAGGTACAAAACCAGCACCAGCAGCATCAACCGCAGAAAAATAAACAGCAGATGCCACAGCAAGCAAATCAGCATATAACACATGCAGCAAACCAGCAGATACCCCAGCAATCAGGCCAGCAGATACCACAGCAAGCAAACCAGCATATAACACATGCAGCAAACCAGCAGATATCCCAGCAAGCAAACCAGCAGATAACGCAGACAGCGAGCCAGCAGCAGATGCAACATAGCCACGCGATGCAACAACAGCAAGCAGAACAAGTAAAACATCATAATCAACAACCTTTTAACCCACAACAAAAACAACAGCAGCAAGAATATAAGAACCAACAGATTCACATCCAGCTTCATCAGCAGCAAACCGCTGAAGGAATTGTGCCTCAGAATCACGTCAGTACCGGTGCAGTGAAGCGTGGTAAAATACGACTGCATCCACAAGTAGATCGTAAATTTATTGGCAACGCTATGGCACACTCAATGCGAAATCATGGAACGCCAAACCTTCTACAGCAGCAGTTTCAGTTTACTTCAGGCGATCGGTTTCAAACTCAACAGTTTACACAACCAACAGTTACCAACCCAGCATCGTCTAGTCCTTTCACACAACAGCCGATCGATTTTCAACGTGTGCACAACTTCCCAACCCAAAACCAAATTCCTTCAAGTACATTTGTAAATACAGTACCTCCAGTCCATCATACTGGAAAGCAAAGCCACGTGAATCCAACCAAACCAGCAGTTAATCTACAATCACCGAGTCCTTTGCCATCACCGATTTTACGTGAGTTTGTGGAACAACCCCTTGTTGCACAACCTTTTCAAAATGGAGATAGCGTAAACTCCCAATCTAATATACAGACATTACGATCACACAGTGTTGTAATGAATGAACATGTCAATTCAATGCCGCACGTCCAGACGTCCTTTGAAAGAAGGAGCAGCAACATGGAACAAGGTTTTCATCAACAGCCACAGAGCCCAGGTCAGTCAGCCATGGATGTCCATTTATCTATGGTTCAAAAAGGAGCATCTGACCCAACAGCACATACTGGTAAAGGAGGCGCACAATTAACAATGTCTGAAACATTTCAATCTAGTACTGCAAATAAAGGTTCAATGACGTCTACATCTAGTCACCTGCAGGCAGAGAGACGAGCTGCGCCGGGATTTATCGAACCAAGTAATACATTTCAACCGCAGACTGGATCCCCACCAAAACAACTTGCTGGACAGACAACACTACCGGCATTACTTAAACCGGTGTATCTGGAGCCACAGGTTAAATCTCCACCTGTAGCCACCGTCGCAGGCAATACCAACACACAGGACTTGTCCGTTCTACAACAGATGGTTGCTTCTAGCTTTCCTACAGCTAACACTCTGGACCCAGCAAACATCGCCTATCAAGCGCCACATGGAGCACCTATCGAACAGAACAACGGGCTAGCAGCAACTACTGGTACACTTCAACCAATACATGCCAGCCAATCAAAAGCTAACAATCATGGCCTGCACAACGTTATGCAAAGCATCAAAGATATCGGGAAGCTGCAACCGGTTTTAGCGAGCCAGCCAAATTCACAAAATAATGCTTGGATATCAAATACCAATAACCAAGGCACTGGTACTCAACACTCTATTTCGAATTTAAAAGCAAGTGGGGAGCTTCAGCCTGTCTTTGTTAACCGACAAAACCCTAATAATAATCAAAACCAGCAACCTATTTTGTTTTCCAGTCCAACTGCTACAGCCGTGTCCAGCCAATGGCAGGAATTGACATCGCAATTGTCGTCTACGGGACAGCATGGATTTAACACTGGTGCAGCTGGAACTACAACTGGACAAGTACAAACACAAGTGTCTAGCAGTGGAGTGTCCCCTAGTAAACCCGATCCAGCGCAAGCCTTATATGACACCATGTTTAGTACACAAAACCAGAGAAACAAAATCGAATTCCAGTCTACGTCAACGGGAGGAAAGATACCTAATGGACCTAATCCAGTATTAACTCTGCAACATTTAAACGAGCCTGTGAGAGCAATATCTCCAAAAACTAAAGATACTTTAAACTCAAACAACATTGCTTCTACCACGGTGCAGTTATCTACCTCTTCGTCCTCACAAAATGGTCAGCATCAGTCCCACATGCTACCAGCTGCCAGCCACGCGCCTACCTCAACCCGACAGCATGCTAACTCTGGAGGACAACCACAGGCCATGGTCCGCGCAGTTACAGTAAACAGACAGAGCAGTAACACTGGCCAATCAAACACGGTTGGGTCTATTTTCCCAGCAGCAGGAGAGCCATCCAATAATAATTTCGGACAAGCATTGGGTGTGGGATCGGAAGCGTATCTAGGAGGTCCTAACAACCAGGAACATCGCTCTTTATCTTCGTCTACAGTTAGTATCATCATTAAACCACAGAGTACAATAGGTCAATCAACGGCATCCAATTCTCAAACCAACGGCCGTATGGCATTCAACAAACAAACCCAATCTAGTAACCCTATTGTTCAGGGAACAGATACAACCCAGGTTCGGAATATTCAGAATGCGAATTTAAACCAACACAGCCAGACATTTGGTCCCGTACATATGTCAGGAGGTGGTCATACGATGACGAATGGTCAGGAAGGTCAACAAATTATAAGTCAAAATGAAATCAGTAACCAAGGTCTACAGACAACCAATCATCAGGTTCAACAATCAAGTAATAAGCATCAGGGCAAGCAAACAATAAATAACCAAGATCTGCAGACATTCAATAGTAATGGCCAGCATATAATGTCTATCCAAGGTCCGCAAATACAAAGCCAAATGACAAACAGCAATAACGGACAGCCTGCCCAACAGGCTATTTTAAATGAAATAATTGCTCAACAAGCAAATAATCAACAAATGGGCAGTCTCCAACTGAATAACGCACAGACAATGAACAGTCATTTACAAACCAATCAACACATCAATGGTCAACAGCTGAACACCCAACAGGCCGTGAACAACCAATTAAACAGCAATCAAATGAACATCCAACAGGCCGTGAACAACCAATTAGACAACAATCAAATGAACACCCAGCAGGCAGTGAACAACCAATTAAACAACAATCAAATGAACACCCAGCAGGCCGTGAACAACCAATTAGACAACAATCAAATGAACACCCAACAGGCTGTGAACACCCAATTAAACAACAATCAAATGAACACACAGCAGGCCATGAACAACCAATTAAACAGCAATCAAATGAACACACAGCAGGCCATGAACAACCAATTAAACAATCAACAAATGAACATCCAACAGGCCGTGAACAACCAATTAGACAACAATCAAATGAACACACAGCAGACCATGAACAACCAATTAAACAACAATCAAATGAACACACAGCAGGCCGTGAACATCCAATTAAACAACAATCAAATGAACACACAGCAGGCAGTGAACAACCAATTAAACAACAATCAAATGAGCGCACAGCAGGTCGTGAACAACCCATTAGAAAACAATCAAATGAACACCCAGCAGGCAGTGAACAACCAATTAAACAGCGACCAAATCATGAATAATCAGCAACAAAATAATCAGTGGACCGTAAACAGTCAACAACTGAACAATAATGAACAAATAAATGGTCAACAGACCATGAACAACCAGCAGATCATAAGTAATCAAGACGTGAACAATCAGCCAATGGTAAATAGTCCGTCAGGACGACATGTATCAGCGGTCGGTACAACCACAGGCTCCGAGGTAACATCTGCTCAAAGCCAATCGTTACAGCCAGGCTTAATACACACAGCGACTGAAGTCCAGCCGAGCCAGGTAGCGAATAATCAATTTACAAGAACACAGAGAAATACCGGTATTAGAAACTCTAAACAGGTTGGTCTAAAAGGACCGATAGATCCGGTTGCTAAGGCAAAAATGCAGGCAAACATAAAAAGGTTGTTAAATGCCGGTTATGAGCCTGAGGAAATTCTAGAAATATATAGAGTGGAATTAGGCTAGTTGAAGGGTATAATAATATTTTGTTTTTGAAATATTTTGTATTTCAATCCAGCGTCTTCACGAAATGTGTCTGGATATCCTGATGCAGTGTACATTTGTTATTGAATACAAAACATGTTATTTGATATTTATCAAACGCGAGGCTAACATAGAATTTTTAAATGTTAATGGCTTTTACCTGTATATATTATCAATTTAAGCGAGTTAATGATCCACGGTAAACAAAAATGCTGAGGTAAACAGATACAAAAATTCCCAATATAGCCTTGTCCCAAACTTTGATTTTCACATGTTCATCGTAGATCTGTTTCTGACCACACTGTTGTATTTAAACAATGAAAGGGTCAGTTGGAAATGAATGGCAATTGAACGACCATATGAATGGTGCTAAGTAACTATCACATTACTACAATGAGTCGCATCACGTGACTATTGTGTTACTTATAATCAGTGTTATACATGCTTTTATTGGCTTATTACGTCATGTTATCACGTCTTTGGTCATAACAGAGCTACCAAAAAGGCATGACGCATTTAATCAAAATAATATATACATGAATTAATATAATGCGTTTTGAAAATTAACGATGACCATTGAAAACATATTTCGCAATTAACCGGAAACTGTGCTGGTAAATTGAAAAACAGGATTTTGATTGTGTTTCCATTTCGGATTTTTTTGTGATTTCAATGTCGTCAACTTTTCGCGATGATTTAATTTCAACAAGTTCAAAAATAGATTCATTCCTAATATGAATCGTCAATTGTAGGGACTATTTCGCCTTAACACCACCAGTGCGTGATTTAAATAGCGTATCCTTGCCGGTAAACCTCCTTGTTTACATAATGCGTTGTAAATATAGTTTCACTTTGTGATAAACATATTATATATGTATAGAGTTCACATTGTAATATATGCATAACGTCCCATTGGGTATATTTATAATATCCGTTTAAAGTGTTTTATCATATTATTTGTTAATGACAACGTTGTATAATAAACTGACAAATAAATAACGATAAATAACGTTGTTTTATGTATTTATTTAATGAATCTCAGGGGTGTTTTAATACAGCTTGTGCGTGCCCTGGCGTCTTTTGATTCAGACAGTACATATTAAATGTTGAATGTGTGTTTGATTGGTTAAAGTAGCAATTTACCAAAAATGCGAAATCTGTTTAAGATACGGATTAGACTATTTTGCCTTTAACTCCTGAAGAAAATAAAAATTATATTCATTCAACATTATCACAAACATTTTCAGATTTATTGCCATTGTCTTTACAAAATATGACCTGATTTTCATTAAAGATCTGTGTATTTAAACAAGTATGCGGTTCCTATTGATGTTGCTGCCTCGTATTTGTATATAGAGAACAATGGTCGGTCCTAGTTTTGTTATTTAGTTTTCTTTTTTCTTTTTGTTATGGTATCTCTTCAGTTGTTAGTTTCGGTATTTTGTATTTACGTCGTGTTTTGATGTGGTATTATTTGCTTTTTAACGCTTTGATGAATTACTCCAAACGAGTCTAGCGCACTGTGCATTATATTTCAGTGAATTAAAAAATATACAATATTTTTATCAAATGTATTACTACTTCAGTGAAAATGAAAATCGATTTTTATTAGATATTGATCTCTTTATGTTTTATATGTAGATAACATATGGATTATGTTTCTAATTTACCTTAGATATATGGTATAATATAGACGGTATGTTAAGGAAACATTGTCTGTCGCTGTGTATTGATGATGTGGTATCCTTTCAGGTGACCTTAGACATATAAGCTGTTCTGCGGTAAAGTTCAGAACGACATATTTCTTCTATTGTTTATTGTGAAGCTGGGGACGGTATGTAGGTAAACACCATGCAACATGACAGGAAGGAATGTTTTCTATAATTTAACTGACAGGAACGCCCATCGTGAGATTTATATCTCGATTACCATTGTCAGGCCCTACCTGATAACTACACTACCACGTGTATAACGAAGATGTCAATTAAAAACAGCCAAGTGCTGATTTACACTATAAAATACATTTCAATTACATGTCTTAACCTGGATTATATTTGGTCTGTATATAGATACATGTTAAGAATGATAAATTCACACTTACATATGTATTTACGCAGTTGATGTTTTGTTCGATAAATAATTGAGGTATACCTATCTTTCAAATCAATCAATAGAGATATAGCTTTTATGAAATTTACTTTCAAACAGCTAATATTCTAAACGTTCTGTAAGCATTGTTCGTTTTCCAGTTTCACAGTATTTGATAACAATCAAGATAGACAGCAATGAAGATTATTTATGTATATTCAATGTACCTTAATAATATAAAAACCTATCGCTTCGAATGCTAACTGTTTCCTAAATTCAATTTGCTTGTTACGATTTTCAATTTATAAATTGTTTCGATTTGACAGCAATTATGAAACAGTTAATTTCACCCTATACTAATTACTCATGTTGGCACGGATGATAGCGTGCTATGGTCTTAATATGAAAGGAAACCGGAGCACCCGAAGAAAACCCGAGGTTCGTGAAGGTGACCCCATACCACGCCCGATCTGGGAATGTAACACCGGTCGACTTGTAGAAAGGCGAATGCTTAATCCAATGTATAACCCGACCACAAAATTTCAATTCACAACGATACGGTCGGTTTGATTTTTTCCGGAATACCTTTTCGTTTATTTCGTCCTCGCAACAGATTTAGTCATATGGGGACATCAGATCAGATTTTGGGTTTTCAAAGTAGGGCGTAGTAAGAACGTCCATTCTCTCCTGAACTTGCAGACGGCCTCTTGAATATTCATTTATGTAGAACATCTCGGTTCGGATTGTGAAGATGTTCATTTCCTCAATACAATGACTTATAACTCATTCTTTAAAATATTGGACTATATGAACGTTTGTGCTCATCAGATTGTGTTAGTGTCAATTCTAAAGAACAAATTTATAAGAAAAAAGACAAAAGGCTAACAAAACATAGATCAATATTAATCTTATCGATGTAAACTATAATCTGAATAGAACGTTGTTGACATCCCTCTCAATATCATAAGGTGTACAAAATTTCATTAACGAATACTATAGAATTAAAAAAAAAATGGGTTCTTAAAAATAGTAATTTGATGAACTAACATCAAACTTAAATATGCAAGAGACAGCATGATAATATAATATCCTTATCAGTTTTGTAGAACAAAAACAATATCTTTATAACAGACGTTTGTTTGCTGACGTTATCTCTAATGGTCCTCATTTTAAAATTTACACTTATCAGAACAGACTTTTATTCACGAATATATTTCCAGCCACCAGGTGAGCATTAATTAGAATTGAACTGTACAACGCCCCGTGTCAATCTGTCAATTCATCACCTGTAAACGCCTACGGCGGTCCATTAATATCTCCGATCTGGAGATAATACGTTACTGATGAAATCAAGGTGAACATTTCTGACCATGTGAATGTTAATGTTAAGATGAAGACATCCTTACCAAGCCGATATATAAACAAACAATTATTGTTTTTATCACACAAGTACGGATGTACGACAGACTGTTTGACCTCAATGTTTAAATATACCTCCTGTTTACACTCTAGCATATTAATGAGATGATAAGGGAAATAGTAAAATACAGAAGCTTTTATAGATGAGAGCATTTTATGGATTTTTTCAGAAAACTCAACCACTATTTTACCAAGTCTTAAGTCTTTTAAGAAGGAATACCTGCAGAAACTGTTTTAGATGTGACGAATAGCTTTATAGTTAACTTGTCAGGATCTGCATATGTGATATTGTTATTATATAGTTATACTGTACATTTCATTGTTTGTATCATGTCCATTGGAACTTGTGTATTACAGGGCCAAATTGTTAATTGCAAAAGTGAATATGTCAATCTAAATATGTAATCCTGTCTAAATGAAAGATTTTATTATCATTATTATTAAATTTCAAAGTTCATACATAGGACCAATGACAATCAGGTCACACTTCCACACTATACTTTGATAGCCTTTCAGAGGTGGTCAGCCTCTTTGTCATCACATTAAACTTAAAGCAATTACCTAACGCCAAGTATTAATGATAATAATAATTCGAGGTTCTTATATACCGCTTTAGCACAACCTAGTTCGTCTCAAAGCGGTTCACAAATTATTATCCGTGGTTATAGAGCCTTTGCAATCAGACAAAACTTTTCTCAACTCCCTGGGGAGCATACAAATGCAAAGGTCCTGTAACCTAGGATAATAATTTGTGAACCTCTTTGAGGCGACCTACGAATTAGGTTAAGATAAAACGGTATAAAAGAACCTCAGATTATATATTATTATCATTTTATTCTTTATTATCATATTCTTCGGGGGAAAAAAATCTAAAAATCGAGTGATACTCTATAAGAAATAAAGAAAATCCAAAACTGTCCGACTTGTTTAAACCATCTTTTCTAACAGATAATACAAGCTCAGCATAAATCAACTACATGTAGCAACTATCAAATATGGCAATCCGATAACACGATAGGTGATTGACCGATCGTTGAGAGTGCGAAAGGTGCAATAAATACACATGTTTGTAAAATTCAAAATGTCAATCGTATCGGATGATTTAATAAAACGTGTAGGGACAATTTGTATACATTGAATAAGTAAATGTCTATATTTGAAGTAAATATGGTTCATACTTTGTTAAAATTAATGGAAACATGCTACTGTAGATCAAATCGAAAAATTTGCCTATGATGTTAATCCTAGAAATGTATAACCTAAAGACAAAAATCATATAACTAGTACGCCCAATGTTAGTAATAACAGGTAAACTCTGGAAACTGTTGTGTCAGTAGATTGACATGGGAAATGGCAGACTACGTTACGCTGTACACAACTTGTGCGGATTAAAGCAAACCGTGCGCCCAAACTTTAAATTAAAACGATGATGAATCAACTTTGTTTTTATAAATTGATACTTATAACTGGGGGATCGTCTCAATGATGTCACCATCCGTCTATGCAATACCCAATAGTGTTGTTCGAACATTTTTCTCTTTTTTTAGTTTTTAATTTCATTTAAAACCCAAGCAAAACATTTTGTATTCAACCTTCATTTATTTAATTAATTTTGAACAAAAGGGCAACATTACAATACTTTTTTGTTACTGTATATAATTTTAAACTTTCAGATTAACGATTTTTGTAATATGCAAATCTGATGTTTTAGAAATTTAAACAATGTAAGGGTAAAGTAAATAACCGGAGAAGTAACAGTATGGAGGGTAAAGTAGATCTCCGCTGTCGTGGTTAGTGTTAGTTGATAGCCAGACGGTATCAGACACGGCCAACTGTACGATAGCTGTGGAGGAGGCGCTCTCACTGCGGCCTGTGTCCTCATCTCCTATGTAGGCACGTCCAAACAAGTTTCCATTTTTCAAAAAATCCAATTCTAACGATTTACCTTTAATGTTAACAATATTTGTATGGAAAACATACAGACCGGGTACAGAGCATGTAAACACCCCGGTGTTAGCGTTGTAATCATTTCCCAGGCTAAGGTCAATTCTGTTGAATTTGATGGTTTTATAATCTCCAAGTATCCCTATTGTGTGATCCAAAACGGCTTGGAACGCCACTTGTGGTTGAACATCTATCAACAGAAAATTGAATTTTCATAAACCCAATGTGTATATTTCTTGATAATTTTATGATAGTAGTATTATTTGTTAATTTACGAATTTCAATTACAAAACTGTGACATAATCAGCAAAATCTTGCAAAAGTAATGATATAATAATAATATTATCAACCAACTTTTATTTATATAGAAGTGGTGACAGCAGAGGAAATGTAAACATTCCTATAGTCAGGATTAAATCTGTGTAAAATCTATGTTATGAGCGAAGTCCGAAATAAGAACAGAAGGCTGTGTAGATAGATTTTCTCTGGAAATAGAAATTGATTATAATCTACTATTCAATAAAAGGCCGAAATAAAGATAAACATATGAGCAAATATTCAGATTCACATTATAGTCAATACACTGACTTACTTGACGTAGATACTCGGTAACTTCTCGTATCGTCTGATAAAAGACTAGGTCGGTTGGTAATCATTTTGGTATCGTTTCTGTCGCCCTCATCGCTAGGGTCTCCATGGTTAAGCACTTCAATAGCCGATTTCAATGAGATCAGTCCAGATTTCAGTAAGGCATTTTCTTTGTCCAATGATTCAAATTTCGATTGATACTTTGCCTCGAGAGCTGATAAGTGGTTTGCCATGTATTCCTCGACTAATTCATTTATGTATTGTGCTGTGATTGTTTGTCCTACATCGGCAGATAGGGAGTTACCAGACACAGATAAGAAACATAAGGTCACAAAAAGTAACTGCAGAGACATGGTCGTCTGGTTGTCTGTAGCGGACTGGGATATTACCTGTGAATACTTCTGATACCCACTTATAAGCCAGTGCAGCACGCAGGACTTAAGCTGGCGCGCATTAATACACTAATCGATAGTAAGAATACTTTTCTGTGCATTGTTTTTCATGAAAGTAGAGGTACATGTGTTGGAAATAAAACTGATATAATCAAATGATTCATTTAATTTGCATCGTCCGTCAAAACCAAATATATTTATTTATAACAGCGTTATAAAAATGCGTCATTTATCGGAACTATTTCCTTAACTGTTTTGTATAAATCCGCGGGGTACCACGATAGCGTCGCTGCTGTTCCATTTGTCTGCCGAACCTATACGGTAACGTTTAATGTCCACTCTTGGTTGACCTACTATTTGCTCAGAATAAAAAATACCAAATGTACGCAGTCTGAAAAACATATCTTTGATAGGGATGAAAGGATCAAAGGATTAAAATGTCGTTGAGTTTGTCCTGTCAAATGTTAAAGTTCTGTAGAAGACGGTTATCTTGCGTAGCTCCATCACCCACATAGCTTTTAATGAACTCACCACAAAGGCATTTAAATATTTTGATAAACGAATCAACTCTTAATGGTAGTAACGGCTGGGAGTTTGTGTGGTGCGGATATAGACCTTTACCTTAACATCATACGTCTTGTCGATTTTCACCAAAACACTAGGCCTCTCCTGCGTATGCCCTATAAGATAAGAATCTACGGTCACCCATGAAGGTTTCTAAATCCTCGATTAAATGTATATCACTGTTTAAACCTTGAATTCAAATAAATGATATGTCATCTGCCAAATCTAGATAACAATTGTTAAAACGATCCGATGTTTCTTTTATTTATGTGTGACTCTCAGCACCGCTTTCACTAGGGCCGCGGTGGCCGAGGTGTTTTAAGGGACTTGACCTCTGGGTCCGAAGCCTGTGTGGAGCAGTCGCCAGGTACTGTCCGCTGGTCAGTGGTATTACTCCAGATGAACCAGAATAAATGGCCATAGCTGTAAAGAGGACGTAAACCATAAACAAACAACCAAGCGTTCAACAGAACGTATTGAAATTGCTCATAATGTGTTGTTTCCTGACAAATACTTAATAATATCTCTTTATTCAGTCTTCAAATTAAAAAGGAAAGACAACTTTATCCGAAAACCCATTCATAACTCAACAAGTAGCAAAATTATTTTCATTGTTGCATGATTGAAGGGTGAATAGCGACATTTAACATTTAACTCATTCACCTCTGAGGACACATTTGAACTCTTTCATTTCAAAGGTTGGAATAATTCATTATAAATTTCAGGGGTGAATGAGTCAATTGTCCTTCAAATACTAATGCATGTCTTCACTGTATTTCTCGTAATGAACAGGAGAAAGTACGTAAAAGAGCCCTCTATTTGAGTCTTTCCCGGAAATACGTCACGGGCATGACTAAAATTATCTGATCCAGAGATGGCTGATCAATCCGAACACACTGTTTTATCATTCTTATATAGTTTTCAAAAACTGCCATTACAAAATCTTTTTTTTTTTCGAAGAACATTTGACAACTAGAATTCGCTTTCCGTATATACGGTAGATGTGTAAATTGCGGGAAAACATCATTTTATAGACATTTCAAAACTTGCATTCCACGTTTTCCATTTACAACCAGAAAATTTAACAGAATTGAATACAAAAGTTTTCGGAATAAATATTTGTCTTATGTATAAATACAAAAGAAAACTAGACCTAACGCATGTTTAGGTGTTTTATCGATGTCGTATTCAATGATGTGTACATCATGTACGTGGTAGATTGTATGTGGTGCACAAATGTTGTTAGAACTGAACACAGTCTGCTCTTTAAACTGATGATGGGTTCGCATTATTTTGAAGATTTTGTCTTGGTTTGTGCGATACTTAGTAAGTTGATTAGTGCAATATATTTGTATCTGTATCTTCATTCTTACAACGCGTGTCATAGTTTGAACAGCTGATTATTTAACCGGTAACGTATTGTCGATAGTTGAGATACCACGCAAAGTCAAGGTCACGTAGGCACGCCATGATAAGAAGTACGAAACTCTCAGGGCAATGGTCGCACTCGTTCACCTACTATTGTGCATAGGCTTTACTGCGTCTAACGGGGTTTCACTGAAGCAAAGTGGTGACTCTGTCTTAAAGCTGGAGGAAACTGTGCGCAAACATGTCGCACACATCCGTGATGAGATTCGTATTCAATTTTAAAAGTTGGAAAACGATAATATTGTTTTAAGGTCAGAACTAGCATCGTTGAAGTCAGAAATTTTTGTTTTAAAATCTGAATGTAGTTCAAGGGACCAAACCGTTCCCAAGCAACCAGGTAATGATGTCATGCCGGACAACACCTCGCTGACTATAACTGATGCTGTGTCAGAGATCAGGCGGATTGCAAGAGTGGCGTCCGTTCGTAAGCAATTAACTTTTTCACATTGTATCTATTATGATGGGATATACTCTTCCCTGCAGGTTGGGGACTGAGACAAAAATATGCCTTTTACTACCAACGACATGTTTTAAGGGGCAAATAATGTGGGACCCCCTGCACAATTGGAGACTTGATTTTGTGGCGTCTACCTGGGAACACTTAAGTGACCAAAAGAAATCAGCTGCATTTGGGGATAGTTTCTTTTATTTTTGCTAACATTTTACTTTTTAGCAACTTGCTTGGCAATATAACGTTATTTGCATTAATGTTGAACGTTCGCCCAAATGAGGAAAGCAATGAGATGTGTCCCTAAATCCTTAACTATGGTTGTTGTTATTCCCTGTTTAACGTTCATCATTTTGGGTAAGCATAGTAACTAATTAACCCGTTGTCAGTATGATGTGACCGGGTGGATGTTGTGCTCTGTGCCTTCTTCATTGAGTATTTCAGTGAGGTATCACTTTAAAGACGGCGTCACTCGTTCTATCACAAGGAGACAATTGCACTAACAAACCCTACACACATCCACTCATACATTACACAGTAGCGCTCTAAAGTCGGCATCAGACCAGTTTTATCACGGGGAAGCAAATACATCAAAAACCGCCTCCAGCACACAAAAACATTGCACACATAGACATACGCCCTTAAATGCCCTTAGCTGGTAATATGACGTTAAACATAATAACACCTATCCAAAGTCATGTACACATAATAACATCAACACTATTAATGTTTATCATAGATTAACTATTGTCACACTAATTATACGACTGCGCTGGTCATACATGTGTAAGTTTTAATAATTTAAAAAAAAATGTACATTTAAAACGATTCAATATATTGATGAAGATTTGTGAAGTTGTTACAAATTAATATAGTTGCAATGCTTAAACATTAATGTTTTACGGTGTAAGTGTTCTATTTCATACCGATAATATAAGAATACTGTTTTATTTAGGTGGGGGTTATCAAATATTGGTTGTAAGAGGCATCAATCATCTCAGACGATTCATAAAAGTCGACCTTGTGACACAATTCCAATAGTATAGCTCAGAGTCTACGATGTGTAAAGGCTTATACATACAGCTTTTATACCGTGTGTTGGAACAGAACATAACTGATGTCCTATAAACATACATGTACTTATTTCAACGCATTAAAATTATAAATTTTAGCATATTAAAGTTTTAACGCGACCACAAAATGATCAATAGGGAACAATACACAGAAATTTCAATTGTGCCTACTTTTGTAAGCGAAAATGCCAAAGCGCCAAAATAAGACTACCGCTAAAAAAAGTTCGATTACAGCCNGGGGGGAGGGGGTTCTTTAGTGTCTTCTACTGGTAGGATATTAAAGAAACCAAAACTGATCTGCTGTCCCAGTTGCAACACTTTAAACTGCATTTTTCTGTTCTCTCCTGCCTACCTTTTTCTTTCTCCTTAGGCGCCTGTCTTCCTACCACCATTTTTTTTACTGTTAGATCCTTTTATCATCTTATATTACGCTAAGAGCAGGGTTTTTTTCTGTGTTGCACTTATAATCTGTTTCTGTTGTAATCTTTTCACCTGAAAATGTGTTAATTTCATCCGTCTGTTTTTTTATGCATTAGTACCTTTATATTCTCACAATCAGGTTACATAGAGTTTCATTTCCTATTACATTATATAAAACAACTGTGGATTCAGCGAGTTTCATGAACAGAATATTATGAGAACGAATTTGATATTCTTTTTATCAATTTCACAACTATATCTAAAATTTGTGTTATGCAAACGCTGAACAAACATAATGGTAGAAAAACATAACAAGTTATGGCGTTGATTGTTAACGTCATCGTATTGTTGCTTGTCACGTCACAGTGTGAGGTTTTAGTGAAAAATTATTTGAACTATAACAAAAAACCTGAAAATGATAGATAACCAGCGTGTATTTGTGTTCATAGTATGTTAATGAGATGAAATATTGTTTCACAAATCAAACTCTCTTATGATTTTGTTTCTCTTCTTCCAGATGAACATAAACCGCAGGTTGCCTTCCAAGCTAAACTTGACAACTCTCAACTCAGTGTTGGAAACGGACAGACTATCAAATTTCACATTATCGATTTTAACATAGGAAATGGCTACAACCACCTACCTGGTGTATTTACGTGTAAGGAACACGGTCTTTACATGTTCCATTTGACTATGGTTCTCTACCCTGGCAAGTTTGCTGAATTTACCATGAAGAAGAATGGACATACCTTTGGCCTTTGGACTTCTGTACGTGGGCGAGAAAGACTACGCCGGGAGCAGTTCAACCACAGCACTAGTGGCGCTGGAAACTCAGGATACTGTCTGGATCGAGGCCAACACCGCTCACTCCCCCGGTATTGTTATGCAGTATACATGGTCGTATTTCTCTGGTGTTCTCTTGTATCCGAAGGTATAGATTAAAATATCAGTGTGCAAGAATGTACCATTTTTTTCATTTCTTATCGTAATAAAATAATAACAAGAACTTATTGTAATGTTTAGCGAGTGGTCTTACTAATTAGACAATCGAGTCGCCGTGCCACAGGAAACTATTATCAACACTGACCTAAACGTCCATTACGGGATCTTAAATTTGGTCATACTTGTCAGTTTTCGGGGCTACTCGATTCGCGGGGTCAGAAACAGTATATGTCAGAAGGTTACCTTAGGGAACCCAGAATGATACGGTTCCCAAAATGGAACACGTTCCCTCTATATGTTGCAGCATTTTTATTTTGGAATTCAAATAAATGGTATCTATTTTATATCAATAAATATATATATTCTAATCAATTTGAACCACATTTATTTGCCTACTTTTTGTGTGTTGCTCATGAAGAAACCCAAAGGATGAAATGAAAAATGAAGGAAAATTCCCGAGAAACGTACGGTGTGACAAAATCAATTTCCTGTCACATTTCTTAACACGGAAAAATGTTTGTTGAAATGAAAGGTTTAATGAATTAATGACTTACATTTATCAGGAAGTGACAAAACATTCTTAAAATGAAGGACACTATTTTGAATATTTAGTCAGATATTATTATAAACTGACTTATATGATGAGGTGTGCCATTTTGGGTTCCTTAAATGTCTAGATAAACACAACTAAATAGACACACGTGTTGATGAATCCCGAGAAGGACATGTACATCAAATGAAAAGCAACTGAATATATTTTTATTTTTACAACAGTTTTTGTTCAAAAGTGTTCCCTTTTTTGGGTATCCTCACGTTACCCGTGTCTATGGCCATACATTTGGTTTGGCCATCACAAAGGAAGGTAGATTTGGCATTCCCTGAACAATCAAAGAAGGTAGATTTGGCATTCCCAGAACAACCATGTATGAGTGATGTTAAATAAACTGATCTTGATATCCATGCCACATTCAAGTGTGGTAAGCAAACGTGTATAAAGAAGCCAGACAGCCGTCTTGAAATATTGCGAATTTGTATTGCCATGTAATATAAAAGACAGTCAGTCCTCCTCAAAACTTAAATCACCTCAAGATTAATAATGATAATATACAACATTTAAAATTACTCTAAAGCGCTTTACAACATATGGATAATAGTAATAGTTATAATTGTGAAACAAAAACAAAGGCTTACAATCACTTTTATACATTTAAGCAAGCGTTGTGCACATAATTGAACAAATCAAGGGTGGTATGTACATGACGTCTTTGCAGAGACCCTTAAATACAGACGTGAAGAGGTGAGTTTTGAGGTCCCTCTTGAATTGATTGATTTGGGTTTTTTTGGGGTTTTTTTCATTACAAATATTTTATTCCCCCAGCCTTTTTTTCATAAATATGTATATACATATCCTACTTCGAAGCAGATATATATATATCCATATATAAATATTTTGATAGGGGATGCCAGGGTTGGGGAGCCCTGGAGTCAGCCTCTGAACAATATGGATTGAGTTGATCATCTAGTTGTAGCATATATTTGTTGTCAAATGGCTGTTCAAGATACGCTCCCTAGTGTATCTCTAAACAATATTTTCAGGCTGGTAAGTATGGATTATGAACAGTTTCTTGTTACACAACGTATAAGTTATTTGTGTGACGTTTCGATGATTAGTACGGTATGTACTCTGTTATAAGCTGAATTAAGAAAAAGATATATAACTTCTCATTCAATGAAAGATTGAATTTTTTTACAAACCATTTAAATCAGCGAATGGGGATCAACGATATCCCGATTCCCATAAGATTATAACTAGTACAAACGTGGCACCCGTCTTACTTTTTTTTAAATTTAAATTACACTTTGCATTGAAAAAATTAACGCATGACTTACACATTTCCTTGGCCTTAGCAAACGAACAATGAAACATTGAGGAAGCAATGGTTAATTGACGTGGAACAATCCGTGTCTCGGTATTTACATTTGAAGATATTTGTTATTGAAATTCTTTCAGATTTACGTTTACTTTGGCAATTTATCATTGGGACGTATATTTCAGAGTCGAGTTGTGATATGACGTCACCATCAATAGGCTGTTTTGTATTCTATTTAAGTCCATTAACAACGCACAACTGAAGTATTCCAAACAGTATACACTATTACACCTATATTAGTCCTTTTACCTTTTCTTCACACAAGTAATTATCATCCCTTATGTGTCGAGTATTTCTTACTTCCCAATCGTTTATTTTCGGTTTTTTCTGTCAGCGTTCAAGAGGCGATAACATATACACAACAACAATCCTCCCGTCCACAGACGCAGCGATTAGGGTATGTCCTGTCAGGTCCGGTAAATCGGTCACCATTGACAATAAACCATGGGAACATGTCGATTATCCTCCCGTCCACGAAGGTAGCGGTTAGGGTACGTCCTGTTAGGTCTGGTAAAAACGGTCACCATTGACAATAAACCATGGGAACATGTCGATTATCCTCCCGTTCACGGGGTAGCGGTTAGGGTATGTGCTGTCGGGTCTGGTAAATCGGTCACCATTGACATTAAACCCTCGTAACATGTTACTTATCCTCCCGTCCACAGAGGTAGTGGTTAGGGTATGTCCTGTCAGGTCTGGTAAAACGGTCACCATTGACAATAAACCATGGGAACATGTCGATTATCCTCCCGTTCACGGGGTAGCGGTTAGGGTATGTCCTGTCAGGTCTGGTAAATCGGTCACCATTGACATTAAACCCTCGTAACATGTTACTTATCCTCCCGTCCACAGAGGTAGCGGTTAGGGTATGTCCTGTCAGGTCTGGTAAAACGGTCACCATTGACAATAAACCATGGGAACATGTCGATTATCCTCCCGTCCACGGAGGAAGCGGTTAGGGTCAAAATCACTGAAGAAACAGAAGGGAATGTACATAAAACCCCATAAGAACTGGTTAATTCCCAATATAAAGATGAACTTTGAAGACTGAAGTTTATAGTAGGAACTTTGTTCCGATGTTCACCGTAACATCTCTTCCTTATACCTATGTTGCCATATTTTTATCACTTTGTAGGTCTAGTTATTGTTTTATTGACACATCTGTGTTATTTTGTTGTTCTACTGAAGCCTTAGTGCTGTTGTCAATAGAAAGCCTATACAAAAACTCTGGAACAGCTGATCCACAATGACAGACAAACGTAAAAACGCAGGGGAGGTTGGTGGGTTTCTCACTTGAAATAGAATAGTATTGACAATGAAATTATGGTCGCCATGTTTGTTAGATAATTTGTTAATGAGATGAACAATAATTGGATAATATAGAGAATAAAATAGCGATGATTTTCATTTCATTTTGTAGAGAGGTGACCATTATTTGAATATTATAAGAAATATTAAAAAACGAAATGGTTGCCAAATTAGTTGGTACAGACAATTATTGAAATTCATCAGGAGATATGTAAAACCGAAATGATTGAAATATCATTTGGTAGTGAGGTGACAATTGTTGAAATAGTATATGTTATATATTTTATTTTAAAAGGCCATGTATGATATATAATTTGTAGTGAGGAAATCACCAGCATCCTGAAGTAACGTATTGATTACCCAGTATGCTGTAGCAACGTCTTGATTACCGATTTTCCTCTTAGTTACGTTTCGATTACCCGGCGTTCTGTAGTAACGTATTGATCTCCCAGAATCCTCTAGTAACGTCGTAATTAATAAACATCCTCTAGTAACGCCTTGGTTACCCTGCGTCATATAGTAACGAATTGATAACCCCGTATCTTATAATAACGTCTTGGTTACCCAGCATCGTATAGTAACGTCTTGGTTACCAAGCATCGTAAAGTAACGTTTTAAATAACCAGTATTTTCTAGTAACGTCTTGATTGCCCAGCATCCTCTGGTAACGCATTGGTTACCTAGCATGCTATAGTAACGTCTCTACTACCAAGCATCCTCTAGTAACGTCTCGGCTACCAAGCATTCTCTAGTAACGTCTCTATTACCAAGCATCCGCTAGTACCGCCTTGGTTACCCGGCATGCTATAGTAACGTCTTTATTACCCAGCATCCTCTAGTACAGCTTGATTTCACAGCTGTGATGTGTAATGAGTGATGTAAGTTCACACGGCCGTGGACATCGTCAGTGTTAACGATATGTACACGTCATGTGAGACATTTCCGACCTTTATAAATAGCGTGATTTATAATGCCGTGCGTCTCTGTCTGTACTTGACAACAGGGGACCGGACATAACTGACCATCACTGACCACAGTGGGCTTTTATCATGGCCTTTACACAGTTTTACTCCTGTCAGCCTAACACGGCTAACAAATGGGAAGACGTCTCCATTACTGGACCTGAGATATAAGTTTTATTAACAGGAACGGGATGTTATTAATATGTGTGTGTCAACGTGGGCAACGTTGATGTTAATCCCACTGTGTAGCTTTCAGCCATGTGAAGTGAACGCTGAAAATGTGGTTTTATATGAATTTTATGTCCTTTGTTCAGTGATAAATTGTTATTACAATTCGACGATGCTTCTACGATACTTCGATGTTATACATCTGTTTAAGACGTCAGTTTTACAAAGAGAAATTTAATTAATTAAGAAACTTTAAATTCTGCACGATATCGGGTATTATAACAATAGCCTCGGTTTCTACAGTAACAAAACAAACTAATAATCAATATATATATTATTTTTTTAATGAAACATTCAATACAATCACAATATATACAAAGAAACATTCGATACAAGTATTAAACATTCGATACAAGTATAAAACATTCAATACAAGTATAAAACATCCGATACCAGTACAATATAAACAAAGAAACATTCGATACAAGTATTAAACATTTGATACAAGTACAATATAAAAAAAGAAACATCCGATACAAGTATTAAACATTCGATACAAGTATAAAACATTCAATACAAGTATAAAACATTCAATAAAAGTACAAAATAAACAAGAAACATCCGATACAAGTA